AGTAAAGATAGGAAAGAGCTAAATAAGTAGCTTATAGGTAAAGGGAGGAATAAATAACGTAAAGGGAAGGGATTATAGTAAAGGAGAAAAGTTCTATCGATAGTTTATTTAATTACTTATATACTTAGGAAGAGAGCCTTACCTATTATTATCGCGCCCTTTTTATTAGTATCTTAGGTCGGAAAGTTACTAAGTGTTACGGCCAGGCACATACGAGCCTTGACGGCTATAAAGATGTATTGGCACTATGAACAAAGACTCAAAGCTAAGGAGCAAGAAAGGAAGACTAGACTACACGACCGAGCGGGCCCTTATATGACACGAGGTCGCGCGTGGGCACGTGATGCTGCTTGGGCACGTGACACTGGTGAGGTTCTGCGCTGGCGGCTCTACGCCGGCGCCCAGGGTCGTGACACTACCCCGTCTAAGGCCTTGATATGCGTATCAAGGTAGTCAGTCGTGGCGGCGGGTTCTTGGTTTCACGGCTTTCTCTGCTGTGTCGTCATCGTCTCGTTCCTCGCAGCCCTCCTCCGCTGCAGCACATTCGATCCAGTATTGCAGGTTGACGGGTGGGCCTGCTGCGTCCGGATGTTCATCGTGGAAAATCTTCAATGCCATTGGTGCGTTACGGAAATTCCTAGCCGGGTACCAGGTCTCATCAGGTCACATCCCTTCCATAAGACCTGGTATTCCAGTCGTCGACTCCTACCGGTTACTCGAGACTGCTGGACTTGATCAACCTCCCACTCAGGTTCTCCGTTGATCTCCCGGGTGGCGGAGGTGACTGGATCTGCTGGGGCAAGGGGTTATCGGCTGCTTTTCGAAGACGGTCGGCGTGGAATAGGTTCTTCATTTTGTACGACTCGGGCAGCTGCAGTACGTAGCTATGACCGCGTTCTTCCAGGATTACGAACGGACCTGACCATTGGTTATCTAGCCGAGTAGTCGGAGCGTTCGTGGCGAAGCCTTTCCTGCTGAGAAAAACTCGGTCACCGATGGCAAAGTCGGTTGGTCGTCGTTTCCTATTAGCCTGTTCCTTCTGACGTTCTTGAGCGGCGGTGGCAGCATTCCTGGCGTCTTCCTGGGTTTCCTGGGCGGTCTGCACAAGTTCCCTAGCTCTGGCGGCGGGTCCGGTGGCAGCGGTCTTGTCAGTCGGGGGCAGTGACAGGGGGTTCCGGATATCTCGGCCTAGGGCTACTTTTAACGGTGCCATGTCGATGGAAGAGTGCCAAGACGAGTTATGGGCGAAGTCGAGGGCGGGCAGCAGGAACTCCAGTTATCTTGATGCTTCGTCACGTAGAATCGTAGCTTTTGATCTAGGTATTGATTTGTAACTTCTACACCCCTTGGGTCTGAGGGTGTAGGGAGCTTCCATGACGATGCTTCGTTCCGTGAGCCGGTTAATCTCTGCGAGGAAGGCAGAAATAAACTGTCCAGCGTTGTCAGAAATCCATACGAGGGCATACCGAAGAAACGATAGAGGTAGCGGAAGTAGCGGCTAGCTAAGACTTCTGCCGTATCGTTTTCTTTCCTGGGAGCGTGGCGATAATCCGGCTTAGCTTGCAGACGAAGGTCCAAACATAGTCATATCCGTAACGGTCTTTCGGCATATCCTTCCCGTCACATTCGACGTGCTCCCAAACAGAGGTCGGTACGGGCAGTGGATGGAGCAGTCCAGGGTCTTGTCTCGAGGGTTTTGTTGCGGCGGCAGTCGTGGCAGTTCGAATATAACGACGGATATCCTCCTTCATCCTTGGCCAGTAGAAGTCTCGTTGGAGCAGCTTGATCACCTTGTTCTGTCCGGCGTGAGCGAAGATCTGGGGTTCGTGGGCTTCGCGAATGAGCGCGGTCTGAAGAAACGTCTGCTTGTCTGAGGTCTGGGCTGGTACGACCAGGTGTGTTCCATGGGTACCGAGGTCTTGGAGGAGGTTCTCCTGGCGGATCAACGAAACGAGTTCGGCTCCCTTCGGGACCGAGTTCGGGTCTAGTTCTGGGCGGTCTTGATCGGGCGTCTGCTGTATCCTCGGTCTTCTGGGGTCTGTAGGGCACTCGTGGCCCTCAGACTAATGGTCTAGTAGGCTTAGGTTCGGGACTAAAGTTCGAGGGCAGGTTGCCGGCGGCCGTAGGGTCTAGAGAGTCGGTCGCGAAGCCTAGCCTTTCCGGAGGATCAGGGTCACCGTGCGTTCCTCGGCTTCCCGGGCCTTTACGGTGGGAGCTCCGCTGTCTTCCTGGAGAGGGCATCGGCGACTACGTTCAGTCGACCGGGGCGGTAGAGGAAACGGATGTCGAACTGGGCGAGAAAGTCGGACCATCTGATCTGTCGTACCGAGAGCAGGCGCTTCGTAGAGAAATGGACTAAGGCTTCGTGATCGGTGATCACATCGAACTTCTGGCCTAAGAGCTCTGGGTAGAAGTGCTCTAGACTCTGTACGACGGCGAGGGCTCTCGATCTTGGATTGGGTAGGCTCGCTCGGCCGGGGCCATGGTCTTAGAGAAGAATCAACGGGCTTCCAGGTCTGATCAGGCTGTTCCTGCCATAGAACACCAGCTGTGGCATTCCGGGAGGCATCGGTCTCCAGTCGGGTCGGCAGTTCTGGTCTAAAGAGGCGAGGACCGGGGCTTCGATAGCCAGGCGCTTGAGTTGATCAAATGCTTCGCGTTGCTCCGGGCCCATCACAAAGGCAACATCCTTCTTAAGCAACCGGTTCAGGGTTCTGCCACTCCGAGGCGTGGTAGCAGAAAACACGGATGAAGTTGCATAGGCCAACGAATGATCGGATCGCGGTGCGGTCTCGGAGGTCTTCAAACTTCCAGTCTTGTATCGATCGAACTTTCCGAGGGTCGACACTAAGGCCACACCGGCTTCAAGCAGAACGCCGAGGTAGTCAACCTTGGTCACGTTAAATCTAGACTTCTTGATGTCTCCTGGAGGTTGGCCTGATGGAGTCGCCAGATCACTTCTTGACAGTCTTTCCAGTGGTCTTCTTCTTTATCCGAGTAGATCAGGACGTCATCTGCGTAGGCGCTGGCGCACCGGTCGAGGAGATCGTGAAGCTGCGCGTTGATAAACTGCTGGAACCAGGCGGGACCTACCTTCAGACCGAACGGGAGGACTTTCCAGCGGAAAGTTCCGAAACAGGTGCGAAAGGCGGTCAAATACTCAGTCAGGGTCCATGCGGAGACGGTGGAAGGCCTGGATCACATCGATCTTCGTGAAGCGTTGAGCTTCACGGCAACCAGCAGTACCTTCGAGGGACGTAGCGGGCGTGATGCGACTTTTAAGATGATCGTTCATCCAACGGTAGTCGATGCAGAAGCGGCGGGCGGTCGTGTTCGGTTTCGGGCGAAGAGGACGGATGCGGCGTGCGGACTCGGATCGGGCTCGATGAAGTCTATCTCCGGAGGTGATCGACAGTCTCTTTCTCTAGAGGCAGATACTTAACGGGCGTGCGGTACGATGGGGTCCTGTCGGCGAAAGAGGCTTCTCAAGCTCTAGGACTACATCGTGACCGGGTCGGCTCGAAGGTAGGGTGTGGGCCTCTTTCTTCGAGAAGAATCCTCTAGATGGGTGAGCTGGGGCGGTAGACGACTACGGACACAAGCAACATGCTCAGGGTCTTCTCCTGAGGGAACGGAATGCTTTGTCCCTGGTAGGTCTTCTGATCCGGGAGACTTTAGCAACGGTTCGAGCACTAGGGACGGTCTGGTCAAGGCCGGAGCTTGGCTCGAGCTGGACTGGATCCCGGGCATCAACGGTTCGAGTTCGTTCCACTGTTCGAATCTCTCGTGAGACTCTACTTGGCAGACCAGGGCGTTAATCAGGGCTTGATCTTCGGAGGCTTGGACCGAGGCGACGGAGACGAAGTCGGTAGCAGGGGCGGTCGTGAGCTGAAAACGGACAGACTTCTTGGCAGACGGAGACTTGGACTGAAACGACGGAGACGGAGTCGGTAACGGGGTCGGGACAGAGGCCGGAGGAGCTTGATCAGAGCGGCGCCAGTTCTTGTGGAGGATCCGGTAGCGTTTCTCCTCTTTCTCGAGCAGGCGGTTCCGCCTCTCAGCGTCGGCCTGGATCTTAGGGTCGATCCGACCCGAGAGCGGGGCTTGACGAGAGAGCTGGATCGTCGGGAGAACTTGGCGAGGCAGGAAGATCATCTGGCCAGATGATCTGTCGGGCGGCGCAGTCAAGCAGGAGGCGCTTCTCCGCATCCAGAAAAGACCGATAAAGATATCATGGCCACACTCAGCTATATCAAATGTCTCGTTTGCGAACGAACGGCCATCGATGACGAAAGTGGCGACCAGCTGTTTCTGGATATAGCCGGCTGGCTTTCCACGGAAGTCTTGGAGAATCCGACTCGGGAGCTCCTTAATCTGGGCTCCGAGTCTTTGGGCGGCGGACTGGGCGAAGGTTGGGCTAACCAGCAAACGGGTTTCGGCTCCGGTATCACAGAGGGAGCGGGCAGGTAAGCTCACACCATCCACTTGGACTTGACTTGGCAGAGTGAATGACTTGCTAGACCTACTCGCTATCTGTGACACCTTAGGGACCATCAAGGAGTCTTGTGATGGTCCTATTCGTTTCCGAATCTTGATCAGAGTCGTTGCCAGGGACAGGGACGGAGGCGACACGGGAGACAGCATGGGTGCGGTCGGGACAGTCGCAAGAGAGGTGCCCTGTTTTCCACAAATAAAGCAGGTGCCATTATCCCAATGGACCTTTTCTCATCGTCGGTCAAGGCTCTGCCAGCATCACGCGAGGTGATAGGGTCGAGCCGGTCTTGTTCGGGTCTTGGCGGTAGTCGGAGCAGTCTTAGTCGGCGCGCGGCGAGATCGGTCGGAAGAGCGGGAGTCCTGTGTCTGCCTCATACTCCTCTTCTGGCAGTGGACAGCGTCCTTAATGAACCCACAGAAAACCTCGTAGGTCACGGACTCGTCACGGGTCTTGGTCAAGAGGCTGTTATCTAGGTTGGCCGGGATGTGCTGCCACAAGGTATGCTTCATCTGGTCCTCGGCACACGACCGGTCGCAGTTAAGTAGTCAAATTCCGCAAGGAAGTCCACAATGTCGGTCTTCCCATTCACGGTAAACTGGAGGCGTTGCAGGCGGTCAAGAGCCTCGGAAAGCTCATTCGGATTGCCATAGGCGGACTCGAGGGCTTGGATCATCTCTGCCACTCCAGAGAAGGGTCGAGTGTCAGAGGAGAAGCGGGTTTCAAGTGCTCGGCGGGCTTTTCCCTCGAGCAGGTTATACAGACAGACCATCCGGCTGTTCTCAGTCCGGAAGGTTCGCACGTCTTCGTCAAATTTGTTCTTTATGCTCAGGATGAAGGAATGGAACTCGTCCTTCTTTCCTGAGAACGTCGCGGAGGCCTTGATGCGCGATTTGGCGGCGTCGCTGTACTCGGGTTCTTGCCCTCTGGGAAGGGGCAAAAACAGGCCAGCAGCTTTGCCTGTTGGTCGGAAGGCCGGGCCATTTGGGCCGGCAAAAGCGATCGAGGGCTCCCGGTGCTGTCGATTTGATTCAACAGACGGAGAGCGTTCATTTAGACGGGCCGTTAAGGCCGCAATCTGTTCCCTCATCTCGCGGATGAGAGCGTCTTGGGGCTCAGGGCAGCCATGGCTACTATTTCGGATTCAGTGGCTTGGCCAGCAAGCCGGGTGGAACGGCGAGGCTGATCAGAGGGCAGGGCTTCCTCGGATATCATAGTCGCGAGGTGATAGGTGTCGGAAATGATACCACGCGGAATCACGGTCAGATGCCTGCACGAGCAGGGACGGTCGGAGGTCAGACGGGACGAATCCCTTGGTCGGAACGGTTGGTCGGACGGCTACACACACGCGTAGTCTTGGTCGGAACGGACGTGATCTCAGCCTTGAGGATCACTTGGTCGGTGGTCGGAGTCTTGGTCGGAACGGTCAGAACGGATGCGCTGGATTTACGTCAGGCGCGTGTGACGTGAAAGCTCGGTGCCTATTTGCTTAATCGCTGGCAAGCGATCTTATTGAGCTTTGAGTAGTGTTACGGCCAGGCACATACGAGCCTTGACGGCTATAAAGATGTATTGGCACTATGAACAAAGACTCAAAGCTAAGGAGCAAGAAAGGAAGACTAGACTACACGACCGAGCGGGCCTTATATAGACACGAGGTCGCGCGTGGGCACGTGATGCTGCTTGGGCACGTGACACTGGTGAGGTTCTGCGCTGGCGGCTCTACGCCGGCGCCCAGGGTCGTGACACTGGGAGGTTTAATAAGTAAGATTATACCCTTATAGATATTAGCCTATTAAAGGGATAAGACCCTTAGTACTCCTTATCTAACTTACTTCTAAGTATACTTAAAGGCTTTATAAAGACCTTAATTATCTAATAAGGTATCTTTTTAAATTATAGTTAATTTAAATTTTATTTTCCCCCCTTTAAAGTAAAGGCCGCTAGTTACGCGACTCTAGTAGAGATAAAGAGGCATAGAGTAAAGAAATCTCTAAGACTTATATTAATAACCTAAGACCCTTAGAGCTATATATAGGACCGATAATTAGATAATTATATAGTTAATTACTCTGCTAATCCTTAGCCGCGTGCTACGCGTGCTTTAGGTATATGCCCTCGTCCCCGTTAAAACTAGTCTCTAGAGCGTAAAGCTTCTATTTCCCTTTCCCTCTCTCTCTCTCTCTTAAGAAGAGGAAGAAGATATAAAAAAGGGCAGAGCTAAACGAACTACGCTAGTGCTGCCGCACTTTTCCCGTCGAGATAAGCGCTAAGCAGGGAAAGATTTTACCGACTTTTTTTCTTTTTCTCTAGCCGTTGGCCTAGACTATGGCCCCTGCCCCTGTCCCCTGCCCCTATCCCGGCCAAAGTCCCCTGCCCTAGCCGGAGTCCCTTACACTAGACGGAACTTTCTTTTTTTAACGAACCGAACTTTCCTCCCCGGCAGGCTCTATCTACGGTAGCTACTTTAGTTATAGACGGGGACGTCTAGTCTTTATTATGGAGGGAAGACACCTGCGCCAGCAGCAGCAGCGGACATTTTCTAGGTTTTCTTTCTCTGCTAATACGACAACTTGTTCTATAGCCTATACGACTAGCAGCTTCCACGGGACCAGCAGCTCCACGGGACCAGCAGCTTCCACGGGACCAACAGCTCTTCGAGACCAACAGCTCCACGGGACCAACAGCTCTACGGGACTGGCAGTCTCTACAGTCCGACAGCTTCCTTGGCTACAGTCTCGACAGCTCCTTCGGTCACAGCCCGACAGCTTCCTTGGCTACAGTCTCGACAGCTCCTTCGGCCACAGCCCGACAGCTTCCTCGGCCACAGTCTCGACAGCTCCTTCGGTCACAGCCCGACAGCTTCCTTGGCTACAGTCTCGACAGCTCCTTCGGCCACAGTCCCGACAGCTTCCCTAGCTACGGTCTTAACACCCCCTCGGCTACGGTCTTTTGTAAGCTCTTTCTGCAGCAGTCTTCTTCTTCGGTAGTCTCTTTCTTAAAGGTATAAGTTAATTTCCTAGCTTAAAAGGAGTAAGCTAGGCTTATAACCTCTTAAGGTATATAAGTAAAAGCGGAATTTTAGGATATTTAGGAATTATATAAGACTATATAATAAAGGGGAAGAAGGAGTATAAGGTAGGATTTTTAATAGAATTTATTAGTAGTATATTATTATATAGAAGAGGTATTAAAGTTAATAATATTTTCTCTATTTACTAGCGGATATACTATCTTATTTAGATAATTATAGCTAAACGGAACAACCTTTTAAGACTAGATTTAGGCTGCCGTATAGCCCTAAGACTAAGGAGTTCCGTAATACCTTAAGTATTTCGATAATTTCCTCGGCAGCGCCTCTAGTACGGTAGTCTTCGTCTAGCACGGCAGTCTTCTTCGCCTCTAGTACGGCAGACTTCTTCGTCTAGCACGGCAGCTTCCTTTAATTTTATTCCTTCCCGCACGATTAGATGGTCCTAACGGCTCCTTCGGCACTAATGGCCCGGACTAATAGCTCCCTTTAGCACCCACGAGCTTAGCACCTATTCTGACTATCCGATTACGCACCTAGAGACTGCAGGCACCTCTCTTTTGCCTTGTTTCCCCCCTTTTTAGCAGATTTCCCGGCAGACGTGCCGATAGATAACCTTTTCCGTCCCGGCAGACGATTTCTTCCTTAGCAGACGGTGCCGACAGACAACCTTTTCCGTCCTAGCAGACGATTTCTTCCTTAGTAGACGGTGCCGACAGATAACCTTTTCCGTCCCGGCAGGCGATTTCCTCTTTAGCAGACGTCCTAGCAGATAGTCTTCTCTCGGCAGATAAATTACTTTGCTGTAGACGGACCTTTTTAGTAGATAGCTTCTTCCTCGATAGACCTTTTTCCTTAGCAGACGTCTTCCGTGATAGACGACCTTTCCGATAGCAATAATAGCATATATAAGAGATCCTTCCTTCCGCCTTTCCCGGCACGGTCCGCAGCAGCCGACGCGGCAGGCACCTTTAAGTAGTCTTAACGAAAGTATAAAAAGTCCCCCCTTTTCGGAATACCTAAAATAAATAAGATAAGAATAGCAATCTCCGGTATTCTCCTCCTAGGCATAGGTATTTGCCTAGGTAAAGCTAGCTAGACGTAAAAGTCGCTGGGGGAAAAGAGGGTATAATTTTTGAATTTTAAATGATTTTTCTAGGTATTTCTTTAGGGACTTTTTCCCCTTTTTTCTCTAAGATTTCTTTCCTCTGCCTTCCTCGTTAGCTTCTTCTTTCCTTTGCCTATAATAATCTCTTTTTCTTTTTCTATTACTATTTCTTACCGTTAGTCTCTAGTTGGCCTATTAGCCCGTTGCTTGGTCTGTCCCTTGGTCTCTCGTTGGCCTGTTCCTTGGCCCGCTGCTTGGTCTATTCCTTGGTCTCCCGTTGGGCTGTTTCTTGCCTACTTGCCTGCTTAGCTGCTTGGTTTCTTGCCTGCTTGCCTGCTTGCCTGCTTGCCTGCTTGCCTGCTTGCCTGCTTGCCTGCTTGCCTGCTTGCCTGCTTGCCTGCTTGCCTGCTTGCCTGCTTGCCTGCTTGCCTGCTTGCCTGCTTGCCTGCTTGCCTGCTTGCCTGCTTGCCTGCTTGCCTGCTTGCCTGCTTGCCTGCCTGCTTGCCTGCCTGCTTGCCTGCTTGCCTGCTTGCCTGCTTGCCTGCTTGCCTGCTTGCCTGCTTGCCTGCTTGCCTGCTTGCCTGCTTGCCTGCTTGCCTGCTTGCCTGCTTGCCTGCTTGCCTGCTTGCCTGCTTGCCTGCTTGCCTGCTTGCCTGCTTGCCTGCTTGCCTGCTTGCCTGCTTGCCTGCTTGCCTGCTTGCCTGCTTGCCTGCTTGCCTGCTTGCCTGCTTGCCTGCTTGCCTGCTGCCTGCCTGCTTGCCTGCTGTCTGCTTGCCTGCTTCCTGGCTGTTGCTGCTGCTTACCTAGCAGACGAGGGTGTCTGTTCTTTATTATAGAGGAGTTTAACGGGGGCATCTATACCCTAAGGAACACACACAGCCCGCGCAGCAGAGTCTTTGGCAGGGTCCTTGGCAGGGTCCTTGGCAGGATCCTTGGCAGAGTCTCTGGCTAGCCCTCTTCTTAATCAGATGATCCCTTGGCCCCTGTTCGTCTACGGAAGAAGGAGGGAAAATTCGGTCTATAAAAGAGGTCTCATTTCCTCCTTAGCTAGCAGACAGCATTAGTATTATTATCTTCTTCTATATCCTCTTCTACTAATATACCTTGTTAGCCCTCTTTGCCTTTGCCTTACCCTACTTAGTGCTTTCTCTTTTCCTTCGTTCCCCTTAGACCCCCTCGTCCTTTAGTATCTAGCTACTGCTATTGCCGTTAGCATAGGTATGTCTTTAGGTATATACCGTAGACACCGTTAAACTACGTTAACCGACTAAGTACGTTTTAGTAACTCTAGTAACGGTTTTAGAACTTCTACTATATAAACCTTTATATAGTAAGCCGCTTCTTTAGCGGTCTTCCTTAAGAGTAACTATTTATAACTAGCTCTCTCTTTAGCTTAATCGGCTAATTATTTAGGTCTCGCGCTTAAATTATTATAGTTTCGCTATAAATAAGCTTATATATTTCCTTATATAAAGGCACTTTACTATACTTATATTAACTTAAGGTTAAGTATCTCTTTACCTATAAAAACGCCTTATTATTTCTCTATATAAATACGGTATTAATAGTAGCTAGTTTCGCTTATAGCTCCGGTAATAGTTTTATAGATAAGGGCTTCTCGCCTTTATATCTAAGTATTCTTAATAGCGCGTTTACTAGGTTTAATTTACTTATATAATACTTAATCGTAAAGTTAAATAGTATTAAATATATATACTATCTTACTTACCTCTTATTTAAGGAGGTCTAGTATATAAACGTTTAAAGGTTATAATAGTTTAATAATACCTTTACTTTATATACTACCCCTTTAATATAATAATGCTAGTATTTAAATAACTTAATAATAGCGAATAGTTCTTAGTCTAAAATACTATAATTAAGTTTAGCTTTAATAAACTTGCTTAACTAAAATATAATCGGATAATAACGCCCTTTATTATTAAGTTAA